GTTCTGATTTCCCACAATGCTTTGTGTCTGCTTACGTAGCAGGAAGGCAACAGCAAAAACAGTTAACGTTTGTAATCCATACTAAAATTTTGTATGTATTGATTTATTTTACTTTACAATCAGAGCTCCTTTTTTAAATAAAGTTGAAACACTGGAGCTCAATACTTGATGTAATTGGTCGAAGCAACAGTGTTAGAGAATCAGAAATAATTTAAAGATGTTTTGCTGATGAAGACTGACATCTAGTGGTAAACTGGTGCAACTACATGGAAAACTTTAAAATCCAAGCTCTTATTTTGAAGGGAAGTTTCCTGTACTGCGTGCTTTTGTTTCCCGTCACAAATCAAATCCGTCATGTATCCAGAATGCACCTCTTCAGTTTTCCAATAAACAGTTTTTAAAATTACTTTATTGATGCTTCTTTAATGAAAAATCTACAACAAACAAAATAAAAAGACAAATAAGCAGCCGAACTAGCAATCCTCAACAACTTTTTAATTTTTACACCAGGAGCTAAAGGTCTGTTTCAGGAAATCACATCCCCAGCAATCAGAGGTTGTAGGATTAAGTTGTAAAAGAGTTCATACACCACTAGTTGGCAGTATTGTACATATATTGTACATGAATTGTTCTCAGCTAGTAAGTGTCAAATTGAACTTGTGCTTTAAAATTAGCTTCCGCTAGTTTTTCTATGACATAAGCACTTTTTGATGTTGCGGACCTAAATATTTCCAAAAACGCTTCAGAAATTGTGGAGCTAATTTTTGGATTAGTGCTGCCCAGCACTGCTAACTAACACGCTCACTTGTCTTTAGTTAAAGCTCAAGAAGTTGGAGCACATAAAGAAATTCATCTAAAACCTTCATACAAATGATGAATAGTCAAAAAGTTAATTATAGTGTGTACATAAGAATAACATAAGAATATCAAACCACTCGACTGAGGATGCCATCTCCACAGCTCTCCACTCTGCACTCACACATCTGGACAAGAACAACACATGTCAGAGTGCAGCTCAGCATTCAACACAATCATTCCTCAACAACTCATTCACAAACTGGGTAGTCTGGGGCTGAGCACATCGTTGTGCAACTGRCTACTAGACTTTCTGACTGGAAGACCACAGGCAGTGCGGGTTGGCAACAACACATCCAGCACCACCATTCTGAACACAGGGGCACCCCAAGGATGTGTGCTGAGTCCCCTCTTGTTCACTTTGGGGCGGCCGTGGCACAGTGGTTAGGGGAGTCGCCCTGGAACCGGAAGGTCACCGGATAGATCCCCAGTCCAGCCGTTTCAGTCACAGCCAGCTACTGTTCAATTATTGGTTAATATCGGACCAATACGTGATATTAATACTAGATCAGGACACCCCCACTAACATCTTACCTGTGGCTCTTTGAACGGCCTCAGTTTAAAGAAACAGAGTTTAATTCTGTCCTCACATGAACTCATAGACCCATCTGCTAAACTCCAAGACAAACACAAACAAAACGTTCTGCTGTCCAACACAGTTTCACAACACACACACAAACATCTGTCCTCTGGGACAGACTGATGTCCTGTCGGTCAGGGACAGTTTGTTGTTTCTGAACAGAGAATCCAAGTAAACCTTCACGCGTTTGATGCAGGCTAGGAGCTAAAGTGTGTTTTCTGCTCATCTGAAATGTTGCACAGTGACAAATCCTGGTCAGAGGAGGGAGAAACTTTATCCATCATCACAGAGGAGGGGTCAGGGGTGGCCCCGCCCACCATTGATTATTCTTCAAACAGCCTGATCACTTGAAACAATAACCTGAAGCAGTATCACTGCTGGAAAGCACAGTCTGGTGGTGGTGGTCCTTGAGATGGACAACCAATGCTCCTCTTTGCTCCATGTCATGGAACAATAAAAACATTCATTAATGTTCAAATTAAAATGATTTTAGTACCATCTGTAATTTACATCCCATATTTTGTCTTAAACACGTCCAGCAGCAGATGCAGATGATGTTTTCCAGCCTTTACTCTGCTGTCAGGTTGACTGTATCCTGCCACAAAGATCAGGATCCAAACAGGAAGTGCTCCAGGCTCTTCTCTGTTTGGATCCACATGTTCACCTCAGCACTGCAGTGTGCAGACAGATACTGACCGACTGTGCAGTTTTGATGGCCACAAAGCGGTGGTTCCCCTCCTTCCCACAGACGTAGCCGAAGGCTCGGTGGTCTGTGATGTCCTTGGCGATGTAGGAGATCTCATGGACGGCATGGTGGTGCTGGAGGATCTGTGAACAGACAGGAACCGATGACACGGCTGCAAAATGTGTAAAAACATGAGATCAGACTCGTTCACATTGTTCTTCATCAAACTTCATACACAGATCATCCTGCTCTGAACTGTTTGCAGCCTTTCTACCCTCACTGGGTTAGTCTGGACCTGGACCTGGACCTGGACCTGGACCTGCCAAGCTGACATGGCCTGTGGCAGGTGGCACTGTTTGTCCCGATGACAGAGGAGGGGGTATCAGTGACAATTACAGCTCTGCAAGCTGTCCGACTTGATCACTTCATCTGTGTCCCAACGCACAACTCACACACAACTCACACACAACTCACACACAACTCACACACAA